AACCTGAAATGATGTGAAAGGAAATCAGAAAACAGTCATTCAAAATACAATCTATTAGAATCAACGAGACAGAATAAAAATAGTAACTTAAAAACAAACAGCCCAAACCTCTGCCACTTAACACCCCAGGGTTTCCAGTACTCCATTGTTGCTGTTTATGAATCTGTCACAGCACTGAGCAATTCATCACATTCGACATATGGATTTCAATTAACAGCTACAGAGCCAGAGCCTGTATTTTAACTGCTTCCATCCTTTCACAGAAGCTTCATAACAGCAAGACCACAAGGCTTGTTTCAACTTAACAATCAACGTAACAGGCAGCGAGAGTACGGTCTGGACTGCAAAGCATCGCTAGAGCTTGTAAGTATATACCCACTGCAAATCAAATGTATGTTCACAAATGTCTACGTGGAGAAGAAGTCGGAAAAAATGTAAAACTTGTGTACGCATCAGTTTAAGATGAGGATTGAAACCACCACCACCTCTGCCTCAAAAAATCCCACCAACCTTGACAAGACAGCACTCAATGAACAGTGCAATGTTCTGAGATAACACCTCAAATCCCAGCAGGCCCCATCCTCATCCTTTTTGCTGGGAAATCAAAAATAATAATAAAAAAATTTGCAAAATGCATGTTCAAACTCTTACTCAAAAGGTGGTTCAATTAATACGAAAACCCCCTTAATGTAGTTTTGTAATATTTTACATTTTATATTTGGGATGGCTGAGTTTAACACAGTTTGGTGTAGCCTGTATCAAAATTTAAAAATCAAAAAGCTGGTAATCATATAGAAAGCCCGCATTTATTACACAATGGTAACAGAAATATTAGCTCCCCATATGATTAGAACTCAAAAGATAGTGGGGCTATTAAAGAGCATTAACTTTTTAATTAGCAAGTTTCACCTCCACAGGGTACACTTTAATACCTTATCACGTAAGTGCTTCTCTCAGGAGGCCTGAACATGAAGTCTAGGTTTCCCCAAGCACTCAGACTGACTTGGACAAAAACAAAAACTCCTACTTATAATTTGCTTATTTCCTTTTATGAGGCAAAAGAGGCAAATTGCCTTGCACTACTATACTTCATTTTCCTTTCACTTTTCCAATATTTTTCCCTAAACTTGCTCCCAAATTAAAGAAAAAACCAACACGGAGTTTCTGATTTGTTTTGGTTTATTATATTGAAATAATAAAAACTGAAAAAGAATTATTTTAAATAGGGTACTTCAGGGCCTCTAGCACTGTCAGTATTAGATTGGGACCAGTTATATTCCCTATTTCTGTAAGTCTTGTTTAGTGAATAAACGACTCCAGAGATCCCCCCTCAGCCTCCTGCTGACCAGCAGCAGTTGCATCACTGCCTCCATCGCTGAAGTTCGCTGCCAGAACGCACCAGCCCCTCCCTCCAAAACAATGCTATTGCTTTTAGACTGTTTATTGAACTCTGATCCCATTTTTGCCAGCGCAGTTTTCGTGCTTCCGGTTTCTGGGAAGCACTGTGCCTAATATGAAAGTTTACAGGAAGAAACAAACTTCAAAGCCACACGTTTGCAATTACGGAGTGAGGAACAGGACGTTTCTTTCTCCTTCCTACACAGAACAGCAGTGGGTGTTGTGGAGCAAACCAAGCTCTATCAGTCCTGGATCTCGAGTACGACTCCACTGGAAGTGTCCTTAACTTATCTCTTTGCAACTGCAGCGTTATTTACTGATCACAAACAGCAGCAGCCCTTAGACTGAGGCGTGCTTAAGACACTGATCACACAGCATCAACAGCAGACATTTTAGAAGATAATATCCTTGTTTTCTCTGGACTTGCAGAAGCACTCAACAAGAACAGTGATACAACTGTTTTAGCGAGATGAAAACTTAATTAGGTGCAAGACTTAAGAGTATGCAAATAAGCAAGGAATATGAAATGCCTAAAGAAATGGTTACATAAGATAACACGCATGTATTAAGTAGACAAACTCTTATCTTAGTAAAACATCTGGAGTAGATTGTTATGAGACTCCATTTTATGTTTGGTATCAAATTCCCTCAGTACTGCACTGCACGGGAACCCAATCTACCCAGTAAAGAGCAAGATTTTCAGTAATACAAACCTATTCTTCAACTAAACATTCTCCCCCAGCAAAAAGCTACCTCCTTAAAAACAACCCCAATAAAATACAAAAAATACAAACAAAAAAACACCAAACCCACAAACCAAAAAAACACTACCCTACAAAGAAAGTTATTATTACTTGTCCCACTGTAACTTACAAGCAGAGATTATTAAGTTGATTTAGAAATACTTCTCATGAGAATCTGAAAGACTAAGTTAGTGCTATATTTAAATGGTGCATTAATTACATTTCTAAACAACCTGACATACTCTTGACCATTTAATTTTTTTTTTAAAGTTTGTGAGCAGACAGATAAGTCTAATTTTCACTGTCCAAACTGTACTTTGCCTTCAAAAAGGTATAAATTATCGTCGAATTCCGATTTAGAGCATTAGGCAAGACCACATAAGACTTCATTGAAAGACCTTATTTCAGCTCAAACAGCCAACAGCTGTCTGACTTAAAAGTCCTCACCTCTTCCCAGGTCACAGCTGGGAAGAACTGGATAAAAATTTTCAGTGCACAGTTTAACAAAGCGTTTAATACATTTTATGTAAACTTCTTTTTTTTATAGAACAACACAGCTCTGAAGCACTTCGTGTGCCCCCCACTACCCTGAACTCAACTCTATTTTTCCCTCCAGCAGACTGACTCCTTGCACAGATCAAAGCCCCATCCGTCCCTGGAGCAGCAGCCTCACGGGCGCCCGGCGCACTTTTCACCGTCCCCAGCATGCATTCAGAAAGAACAAAGAAGAGCTGCAGCCAGGCAACAAGGCGAAACATAAGCACAGTAAGAGAGAGGTAGCAGCTGGAAGTACTACCAGGTCTGTGGCCACGGAAACACATCCCTGTCCTCCGCCCCCAGCAAGTTCCTGGGTTTACAGACACTCCCGCGAACAGGAAACGAAGTGGGGAAGGCAGCGAGGTGCTTCTGTTCTGTAACAAGGATCACTGTCTCCCTACTGTTAACGATTTGTGCTTCTCCTTGAGGTACCAGAAGCATATTCTTGAATTCCATCCATCAGCACGGGGCAAAATTTCCGGAGGTTTTGCAGGTTTCCAAAACAAGTCCGATTCTCAATATTACAATGGACATTTATTTTTCTATTTTAAATGACCTAATAACAGAACCTAATCAGCACCATGACATTTATTCCCAATTTCTTCTTGAAAATGAAAGAAATATCCTTTTCCTAGAGTTTTGTTACATTTCCAACCCCCTACCTTGCTTTTTCTTCCAGTCCTCTCTCCGGTCACTTTATTGTTTGACTTCACATTTTTTTGCCAATCAAAGGACCAAAATGCATAAAAATAAAGGATCTCCCCATACTCGCTGAAGATAAACCATGAGCTCTCCAAACTCAAATCCCCATGCCTGTAAAAGCAGTTTCTGTGCATGGCTCTTTCACATCAACCCGTTAAAATTCAGCATTCTCTATTTTTTTTTTACAGTCTGGGGAAGGGTAAAGGAAAATACAGGCTTTGGCTACAGCTTCAGAAAGCAGAAAAGTTATGATTCAACTTTTGTAAACCATCCTCTCATTTTTACTGCCCGCGAGGGGAAGGGGAAGGAAAGATGAAGAAATCACTTCAATAAAGGGGAACTCAGGTTGGTAACTCAGTTCCGTTTAAGGGAACTAAGGGAAGTTAGGGCTCCAGGCCTTTAACTTGCTGGTACTGTTTTCACGCTTCTATTTCACCCTAGTTCAGAACTATCTCGAATATTTCATCTTCATCATCACCGCTCTCTCTTGGAAAGAAAGAACTCACCAGGCAGAAAGCAAAGAAGTGTTTTGGGAGCCAAATTTGTTTCCATCGCTTCTCAGCTCCTGTGCTGAGAACACCAGAGCATGGAATAAACTTCCCCTGTTAGAAAGCTCTTCGACAAGCAAAAGAAATGCTCATTTTGGAGACAATGACCTTCCTCTCCGAGCTTACACACCACAGCTAATCCTCCTATAACACACCCCAAATTCCAGTCTCCCCCAGCTCTCCTCCCTTACCAAGGACACGCTCAGTGCTGCTTAAAAGTCTCAATCCCTCCAACACAAGAATGGCAATATTAACACAACCCCTCCGAGACCCAGATTACAACGCTCTGAACTTTCCCTTCACTTTCTTTTTCCAAGTACCACAAGGGAGGCCGCCGAGGGACAACCGGGCTTTGTAAGGGAAGGAAGAGGGACTCGAGCCCCGTCGGGTGACCCCAGGAAACTCCCTCGTCCAGCTTCCCTTCGGGAAGGGAACAATTCCCTGGGGGGCGGGGGAGCCAGAGCTCCGCAGCCCCTCGGGAAAGGAAACAACTCCCAAGGTGAGGGGAGCGGGAGCCCCTCGAAAAAGGGAGCAACTCCCGAGGTGAGGGGAGCCGGAGCACCCCGGCCCCTCAAGGCGGCCACACGCGTGCTGAACCCCCCACCCCCTCACCACCACCACCTCCTCCCCCGCGCACGCGCGCTGCGCGCGCCCCCCCCCCCCCCCCCCCCCCCTCCCCACCGCCGCCGCGGCCACCCCCTCGCCCGCCGGCCGCTCCAGGCACTCACCATGTACCAGGTGCCCAGAATGATGGTCCCGGTGCGCACATGGCAGCAGCCGCAGCAGCGGGTGCTGTAGAAACGGTCCCGGCTACGCTTGAACGTCATGGCGGCTGCACAGACCTCCGTCCGCCCACCCTACCACCCGCCCTCTCCAGGCAATTCCCGAAGCCCGGGGCCGTAAAACCCCCGCGCGCGCGTCACCGCGCGCGCTAGCCAATCAGGAGCCGAGAGGGGGTCGCGGGGCGGGTCCGCGTTGCCGCGGCAACGGGTGACTGGCGGCACCGCGGACCAATCGCACTGGCCTCCGGAGTGCCGCCCCGCGCTCACCTGCGGGGGCGGGGCTGCGTCCGCCATTTTGGGTCCCGCCCGCCCATCCCACAGCCCCTCGGGCGGTGCCGCTCCCTGCGGCGGATCCGGCGGGAACGCGGTCTGTCATGCTCGCCCGGGGCACGAGGAGCAGCTCTCCGTGCTCCACCCGTGCTGCGCCGGTGTGGGGTTGCCGGGCCGAGGAACTGGGGCTTGGCCGCCATGCAGGCAGCGAAACCATAGGGGTGAAACTGTTGTCCAACGACAGCGCGGTATGCCTCTGTTCTCGGTGCTGGTGAGGGGCACCTCGAGTACTGTGTCCACTTTGGGGCCCCTCACTACAAGAAAGACATTGAGGTGCTGGAGAGGGTCCAGAGAAGGGCAGTGAAGCTGGGGAAGGGTCTGGAGAGTAAGTCCTATGAGGAGCGGCTGAGGGAGCTGGGGGTGTTTAGTCTAGAGAAGAGAAAGCTTGAGGGTGACCTTATTGATCTATACAACTACCTGAAAGGAGGTTTTAGCCAGGTGGAGGTCGATCTCTTCTGCCAGGCAACAAGTGATAGAGAGGATGAGAGGACACGGCCTCAGACCGTGCCAGGGGAGGTTTAGACTGGACATCAGGAGCAGCTTCCTCACAGAAAGAGTCATTAGATATTGGAACGGGCTGCCCAGGGAGGTGGTGGAGTCACCATCCCTTGGAGGTGTTTAAGGAAAGATTGGTGCTTAGTGCTGTGGTCTAGTTGACATGGTGGTTTTTGGTCATGGGTTGGACTCGATGATCTGAGAGGTCTTTTCCAACCGAATTGATTCTGTGATTATGGGGCAACCTTTAGTTCCAAAATAAAAACCAGGAGTAATGTCTCCTGGTCCTGGTTTGGGCCAGGACAGGCTTAATTTTTTGCAGTAGCCTGGAGGGGGCATGGTCAGGACATGGAGGTTATTCTGTACCACCTGGTGGCATTGCTGGGGGCAGGGAAAAGGGACTCTCCCTTTCAGGAAAAGGGGCTCGTTGCAAGGGAAAGGCAATCTCACTTTCATGAAATGAGAATTTTTTTTTTCTTATGAATAGTTTCTTTTCATATACTCTCTGTCCTTACTATTGTTGCTATTCCTGTTAGTTTTCTTATCTTGTTGCTGCTTCCAGTAAATTGTTCTTATCTCAACCCATGATCTTTGCATTTTGTACCTCTAATTCTCAGTTCCATCCCACCAAAGCAGGAAGGGGAAGAGAGAGAAAGAGCACAGAGTGCAGTTTTTGGAGAGCCTTGGTGGGGGCACTGAATTGGGTAGTACCATTCCTAAACCACAACACCTGAGGAGAGCCTGAAGCTTTGAGGTACTGTTGACATCCCCCAGCTTTCACTGAAATTCAGCCAGTGCTGTAGAAGATTTGCTATTCTTTTGCTATTCTTTTGTGTTAATTCCTTGGATTAAGTAATGAGATTATACTAAGAGCATAGGTCATAACAGGGAAAATAGAAGAGGTGAAATTCAGTCCACAAAGGTGCTTTACTTTGTTGGTTAGTCCAAGGCCCTGTTGATGAGTGGATAATGGGAATGTTTCATTAGTCCCCCTGAAACCTGCAGTTGCTGTGCATGTTAATGCACATGTTAATTAGAAATAACATGTATAAATCCAAGTACTGCCTTTGTATGTGTACCACACATACAAAGTGGTGTCCCCACCACTTAGACACGCAGTCTCTTGTTCCCACGTGGAGAAGGACCTGTAAACTTCCCCTGACCCAAGGGTTTCTGCAGACCTGAGCTGTTGATACAGAAATGCACTGTTTATTTTACTCCTTTATGTGAAACTGCAAGTATGTTCTTCTTGGCAGTGTACAATCAGTTTGAGACACTCACAAAACCGTAAATATTTGCCGTGCATATATACACCAAGATGTATGTCAGTATTAATACTGAGCTTTTTCACCCTGAACAATGAGAAGGTAATGATAGTGACTGTGCTTGTCCTTTTGATATATTCCAGATCCTACAATTAACATATTTTAGTGTTTTAGCTGCTTAGCCTATTTTTAAACATGAGCCGTTGCTGAGTTGTTTGAAATTATTTACTTAAAGGCTTTAAAACTGACCTTTTTATTTTAAATCCCCAGTGTTCCGTAATTGGTGTTTTTCTTCCTTAGGGCATATTTCATTTTTGAATAAACATGTTGTAAGTGCTGCTAAGACTGCTGTAATGATCCTATTATAAACTATTGTTTGTTTCTCTAGTACTCCTAATGTTCTCAGCCCTGTGCACAGATGCCTTAATTATCAAGACTCTGATTTAATGTAGCGAAAAGGGACTAATTTTAATCAATATATATGCATCCATGTAAATAAATAGAGAAAGAATGTGCATTTTATTGTAATCAGTCATTTAAAAAATCGGTTTCCTCACAGATGGCACATTGGGAAGCCTAAGCCAACTGTTCCTGCTGCATGCATGCCTGAATTGATTACATTGTTCTGTGGAGCTCAGAGATTCTCCCTCCTGTTGGTCTGTCCCTGTGTGAAACAGGAATTCACAGTACTAAAATGAGTCAGAAGTGAAAGCCAGAACCGCTCCCCCGAGCTTGGACATCAATTTGGAAACACCTAGATCCCACTCTCAGTCCAAATGGTTTGTGAGGGCAAGTGTTCCAGCTAAGATCTTGCAGTTGGACACTTTGCCTTTGCTTGGATCACTGGCAGCTCTCATGTCAGGCTCAGGTCTTCAGGGCTATTTTCATGAGATGAAAGAAATCTTAATTAAGTGTTCATATCTTTGTCAGCCAGACTCAGAATAAAAATTGATGCGATTCCCTTGAGCTTCGCTGCTTGTTATACCCTGCAGACAACAAAGATACTGGGAAGAATAATGTGAATCTCATTTAACATCACAAAGAAGCTTTCCACAGCAGGATAGACTGATGTGAAACTGTTGAATGGGCATAGAAAAAACTCTCTACTTTCTCTTCCCTTAAAAAAAAAAAAAGAAAAAGAAAAAAAAGATTAAAAGAGTATTTTGAGAATGATTGCATTGTTTCCTGTACTTGGGGAAAGGGAGAATAGGTTAATGATTTTAGTCCTACCCTCTGTGAAAGATTCCAGTTCTTCTATACCACAAGCAGCCCAGATGACCTCAGGCAAGACACTTCCTTCTAGCTGATCCTTAATTCTCTCCTTTTTGCTAGTTCAAAGAGGATTTGTGAGGCTAAATATATAAAAACTGAAGGGCTCATCTTACAGCCATGACAGCCAGAGCAAAATCTTGGAGACAGAGAGTACTGGTGATAAAACTTTTCCTCAAACAAATAGCAAAAAGACCTTGGCATGCAGGACCAAATTCCCTCAACAGTAAGAGCAGGAAGCAGATCTGCAAGTCCAAAGCAGCTGCAAAAGAATGATTGGGATTCCTTTATTAGCAGGATACTTAACTCCTTCCTCTCAGCAGGTAGGGAAGGTATGATATCACAGTGTTCCTCATTAGCCAAACTAGTTAGGGCTTTCAAAACCAATGTCTAGACAGGAGATTTGCACTTCTGTCTTGAGAGGGCCTAGCAATGTTTTACCAAATACAAATTAGTTTTGAATAATCATATCTGAATAAGGTGACAGCAGAATAGCTAGGATCCGGTAAATGAGAGACCAGGCTGCATTCTCCTTCAACTTCTAAGTTCAACACTCACAAGATGTCAAAACCATGGAGCACTAAGGCTGTTTTCTCCTGATTTTTGTAATAGCACAGTCTTTCCCTTTTGTGCCGTTCTTCAGTCTGTCCTTGGCTAGGAGATGTTGGTTTAATGCTGCCACCGTTACTTCTCTGCACGCACTGTACTATTGCCAGGATGGAAATATTTTGAAGGATGAGATACGGTTCTGCTTCAGCATTTGCTCTGTTGTGTGAAGGGAAACCTGCAGATCCTGAGCTGATGACCATATGTAACCTCCTCAGGCAGAGTTCATATCAGTTTATAATGAAAATATTGTCACGATTGGGGTTGGGAGGCTGAGGCGCGGTGAGATGAACTGATTTGACCAACACTACAGAGGTTAATCAAAGTTGTAGGAACATCAAGCAAGTCCCTTGTGCACTGGGTTCTTTACTGGGGAATAAAAAGTGCAGTGCAGGACATGTTGGAGCTCCTCCTTTCCCAGTGGAAGTCACTTAACTATAAGGGCAGTAACAAGTTACTCCTATATTTTTTTCCTATAACTGTATGCGTCTGCTACTCTGCATTCTAAAATTAAAAAAGAAAAAAAATGAGGAAAGGTAGCTTCTCAAACTCGGTTATTTTCCACACTGAACAACCATTTTTAAATTAAAAAAGCAAAGATTTTCAACATCACAGAGCAGGTAATATCTTTACATAGCTACTGCAGTATGTAACACCACATCCCTTCAGCAGAATTTAGAAAAATACATAGAACTGTTGCAGAAGGTGTGAAAAATATGCAGGCTAAGATCATGGATTGACTTTTTGCTTCCTTAAAAGATATAAGAATGTACTAAAGTAAAAGCAAGGCATTAGCATATCAATGAGGGGAAAAATCCCTCAAATAAATTACTCAGGGGGAAACTTTGCTCTTGGTGACTCACACAGTGAAATCCTAGATATCCTGAAGTCAACATTAACAAATTTTACCAGCCTTTTTCTTGGAAGAAAACAATGTAATTTGGAGAGTCAGTGGTTTCTTGTAAAAGAGGTAAGAAATGTGTAAGAATGTGTCACAATGACTTTTGTGGTTATTGAACTTTACTCTTGTTTACTGAATTAATCAACATCACTTTGGGATTCCTAATGTAATGTTCCAGGCTTCTATATTATTTGTTCTAGTTGGTTGCTGTTAACAATATGAATTATCTTTTACCAGCAAGAGTCAGTTTAACTCAGTTTCAAACCTTTTAAACTAAAGGTTAGAAAATCAGCTAAAATATGACAGCATGATGTAAAATTTCTCTAAGACTGTGTTTCTGGGTGACTTTCTCTGTGCTCAGGTTTTCTGAATCTCAAACACTGAATAAAAATTCTCATCTTCATTTAGAGAATCAAAATCTGATAAACTAAAAGAGCTGTGGTTCATTTATAGCAGCCTCCACACAGCTGAGGAGCTATGAAAATGTCTAAAAATAACGCGATCTAAAATGGTACTTGCAATTTCAGATATCTCAGTGCTTTCACATGAACAAACAGTGAGCGCTGGAAAGGGGAAATGTCCTGTACTCACCAACAGCCTCCCCCTTCCAGCCCTCAGCCTGGCCCTGCCCTTCCATGAATCTTGGCAGGGTGAATAGGATGAGCATAAGGACCTGAACGATACCTGTTCAGGGAAGCAGGATGTTCCCTTCTGGTGGCAGTGATTTCTTTACACATTGACTCTTTGACTGGGTTTGCAATTTGAGATGCCAGCAAAGATTTCCAGGAGGAACACAGATGAGTTGAATAAAGCCATTTATCACTTGTCTCTGTAACATGCACTACACAGAACCAAAGGAAAATTGTGCATGCAAAGAGAAATTAAAATTTGATAGAAAATAAAGTTTGCCAAGTTTCTGATATTCTCTTGATGGGACGATAGAGGGGTCAATTTATGTCACAGTGGCCGTTTCCCCAAAAGACACAGGGAGTTTGTTTCTGAGACCAATGCATTACCATGTCCATTCAATACGGGAGGACCTTCCCTTTGCAGATGAGAACATCTGTGAGGCTGAATGTCAGGGATGGCACATAGTGCAAAGTTCAAGTTGCCTTGAAAATACTCCTGGGTCTGATTCAGTATGATCACAGAAGAAGGACAAGGTTTCCTCTATTTGATCTTTGTAACCCATGACTTCAAAACCCTCTCTCCTCACAACGTCCAGCTACCCTTAGAAATGTGAGCATAATAAAGAAATTATTTCCTGCCAGACAATTAGCATATGTACCTGCTCCTTGGCTTGTGCAGATATGTCGGCTGTGCCACCAATCTGCAGATTGGGTGGAACCTTGATAATTATAGACAATTACAATGGTCAGTTATGGAAAATTATGGAGCAGCAGGCCAAATTCCTCTCTGCGGTTGCCCCACTTAACCCTGGCAGTGTTACACACGTTTGCAGTGTGAAGCAAAGCTTCAGACTCTGCATCTGCATCCTGCTGTCTGCTTGTGAGTAAACACAGCTTTGTAGGTCAGCAGTTCATCACTTACAGCATCAACCACATCTTAATGCCAGAGATACGATGGATTCACCACGTATGGATAAGGCCCTATTATTAGGGATACAGCCAATCTTTCACCTTCAAAAGGCTGCCCACAAGAAAGAGCATTATTACAAAAATAGAGCAGATTGAGTTTAAGCGAAAGTGGAAACTTAAAGCCACGTATTTCATCATTTGCTGCTGGAACAATTAATTGCTATCTCCTAACCAGATCATAGATGTTTCCCAGCCACACTTCAGCCCACCTCCCACACCATGGCTGCACCAGAGGCTTGATTTCCAGCTGCTGGGCTATTTGCAGGCACAGGGAGAGCTTTTGGCTGCTTCTAAGGCATGTGCCTCTCAAGCAGCTAATAAATTGCTTAGGGAAAAGGCAGAGGGAGCCAGCTGAACCTGGCCCATGAACTGAAAATTAAACTACACTGGATTGATGAATGACCAGAGAGGCTACTCTCAATTTACTCTTCTAAGGGATAACATTCAGCTATAGCTCAAGCAATGCTTCAGCTTGTTGGAGGGATGTTGAATCTTCTGTCTGAGGATTTACCCTAGACTCCCGCTAGCAAAGATCAGAGACTAGAATGTGCACATCTAGCACATTCATTTAACCCTCCTGGAGCCAGAATCAGCAGAGCAGGCTGATAATCTGCACAGCCTCATAGAAGAGAAGGGGAAGCATGTTTTAAGAGCACAGAAACCAGGGAGTAACCTGAACATGCGATGGTGAAGGAGTGTTTCATAAGGAACTCAAAGGTCTGCTTTTCAAAGCATCTGTGAAGGCAATTTGATAAGCTGTGTGATGGTCTTTTAGCCTCTGAGGACTGGGAAGAGAAAGAATGGAAGTTGACAGCAGTTGCTGAGCGCTTTGTGTTTGGGTTTGTTTTTTTTTTAAACTCAGTTCTCTCACTTTAGAACACTTTCTCATCACTGAGAGCACGTGCAGCAGCGGCACTGGGAGGTGTAGTGCAGGAAGGCTTCTGGCACTACCACAGCCATATCAACCAAGCAGAACCCAAAATACCCTTCCTAAGTGCTGACAAAGCAGATGAATCACACAAACAGGCTATACATTGCCACCCAACTTGCCCTGAAGAGTGCTTTTCAATTATTTAGGAAAGCCTCCAATCAAGAGTATTTAGTCATAGGAGTGTATTTTCTCTGCCTACATTAGAATAGGGTATTAAATAATGTGCTGCTCTAACAGCACTATTGAACCCTTCTGTATTACTCTGATGGCTTCCCATCTGTGAAGCTGCAGAGCCAGAAGAAAAATGCAGCTCTCCAGATAGCACTGATGTCAGTAAGAGAGGTACTGATGAATTTGACAGAAAAGCTGGATAATATAATCTACTGCTGCTTGTCATCAGCACCGTAGTCAACTTGGCAGTGTTACAGGTCTCCATTCTTTTTTCATCCCAACAACAGAAGAATGTCATGAGGATTTCCTAAACATAAAAGGGTTCAGATGAAGGAAATCTCTTAAAAAAACATTTATAGTACCTTGAAAAAGCTTGAAAATGAAATGGTTTTAGCCAAAAACACATGCTCTCACTCACACACATACAAATTAAATACAACTGCTCAAGAGTGCGGGACTTTGGATAAAATTTTTCATTTTTTATTATAAAAACAGTGACATTTGAAGTCCCGAAACATTGAAATAAAACATAGTTACAAAGACATCAAAAAGTTTGCAAGCAGACATAGAGAAAAAAGCAGAAGAATTTTTTTTTTTTTGGATGATAGAGGTTATATTCAATGCTAAGCAGAGACCATGGGCAACATCCTGGCCCCAATGAGGTCAGTGGATGTTTTACATTGGCTGTAGAGAT